GGTGGGACTGAAGCAGAGACTTCTTCTTCTTGAAATCCAATGCTGTCAGGTTTTGGGCAACCCAGATAAAATCCCCCACCATACTTTGCTTGGCATCAGATGATGGAGTAGTCACAATCCTCTGCTCCATATTCTGAGGCTGAGATTAGATGATCTCCAGGAAAATGCTGAGTGACAACTTTAACATCAGCACGGAGATGGGTTTTCCGAGAGTTCTCTGGCAACCCACAATGAAATCCCAGTGAACAGAATTGTGAAACTGAGAGAAATGGTTTCACTCCCCAGTGGGTGCTTTCAGAAAAGTGTGGTGTCTGGTGCTGAACCTTAGTAAGAAGATTCTTTCTGGGTTTTTTCCCTAGAGGGTAGAGGGTGCCCAGATCCATATCTAATGAGATACAGCTCTCAGGGGCCTGAATAACAGCAGAGCTATGAAAGCTTCTCTAAACTGAAGTTGCACTTAACTGAAAAAAAAAAGAATGCTGAGTGTAGCCCCTTTAGATTAAGATGTTATTTTGGCAGAGAGCCACCAGAAGTCCTCTCAAGAGTAATTCAATATTTCAAAGTTTGTATAATGTTATCATTATATAAAATATATAAAATATATATTTAATTTAAGAATTTAATTAAAGAATCCAATAACTGGCAATTATATTACATATGTTTCCTCCACAGTATTTTTTATGGAAAATATATTTTATCTGAACTAGAATTAAAGGAAATCAGTGCTATGAATTCTTCTTAACCATGATTTTTAACACAATACATTAACATATTTATGTTTTCTTTTGAAAAAAACATTGTTAAGAAATGTTTTTTTACTGTCTTACCAGGGTAATTGTTTATTAAACGTTATATAAATAACATAAAAAGGAACCTAGGTCAAATATTACTGGCATATTTTATGTACTGTATACTGATTAAGAGAAACGTGATTTAATGCATATGAATGGCTAAGAATTTTAAATAATTATCAAATCAAGTCAACAATGAAAGTAGTTAATGAAAAACAGAATTGGTACAAAACCTTCACATGCATGAGATATCTCTGTTGGGACCACAGACAAATTCAATAATGAGGATCACAGCAAAGAGCATTGTATTTAAAAATGACTAATGCGAACTCAAATTGTTTCAAACTTTGTGCTCAATGTTTAATACGGCTGTATACAAATATTTGCATGCAAATAATGATGAAATGTGGTTATGGACGGCAGTGACAATTCTAAACCACTCAAGATATTAATAAAAAGAAACTTTGAATAAAAGTTTAAGCAAGTGCCTCCACGGTAAATATGGTCCAATGATTAAGTCTATTGACAAGTCACAGTTCTTTACTTTTCGGCAGGTAGAGTTGATAAAATTGATAAAGGGATTTATAAAATTATGTACTGTACACCCCTAAAACAAGACAAAGCCAGATTCATGCTTATTATTTCTCCATAATTTGGTATAAATACACAAATCAAAGAAATAAAGGGCATCAACTATGCTCAATTACAATTAGGCCCGTTTTCTTTGTTTCCCTAAAGAGTAAAGGGATTTTTTGTGAGGAATTTGTTAAAAACCTCACAGTATGCAATATCACATAAACAAAAAATGTAATCCAGTATGCACCTCTTTAAGATACAGTATATGTTTAGAGAAAAACACAAACACATATTAAATACCTATATTAATACACCCTTCATTTATTTCATTTAATTCAAATTCATTAATGGTATTCACCCGATTTCATGCATATCAATGTTGGTGATCAATTTTTATACACTGTAGTGATGGTTATAATAAAAAAAAATATATATATTTTTTAACATCTTCTTGTGTTTTACCCAACGAAGAGGCTTCTTCTTCTTGCAGCCCCACTATGAATGCCACATGGAAGTTCAAATGGTAATTTTTATGATACTTTGTATGTTGAATATTGCCAGAGGGTATTAGAGATCTCCAAGTGTTGCCTTTGAATTTACAGTTACCTCTTATTACTTGTTTCACAGCACGTGAAGGCCAGATGAACTTGTGTCCTCTTTCTGACAGTGTGGCCACTATACAGTACCAGCAGCTTTAAATGTCTAAATAATGGAACTGTAGTAGAAATCGATTTTTGTTGATTGTTCAATAGCTTTCCCGCACCTCCTGGAGGTCTCTAGTACTCAAAGAGGTCTCTGACCTTAACCCTGATGATGCTACTATTGAATGTTTTAGTAGGTTCCCTCCTGTTATATCCCAGGGAAACAGGAAACCTTTACAGGCCTCCATATACAGTAGTTCCAGAAGCTTCCATTTCACTTCCTGAGCAGTGCAGAGCAGAATGTTACTATTGATTTGTTCTTGTTCTGTTATTTAAAGGAATACTCCTAGATGTGAATAAATCTGACCCTCTTATTTTCTGGAATACAATGACAAATACGAATTTGGGAATAGGCCCTGGGCATAGGCAAACTAGACGACTGTCTAGGGCACTGAGGCCACCAGGAGGGCCCCTCGATGTGAAACACAAGGTATTTTAATTGGCACACTCAAATGTGAGCGTAAAATAGGGCCCTGCTCTGTGCAATACTATTATGATCACACAAGTATTGCACAGTAGTTCTAATAATTGTAAAATTAGATTTTTCAAGCAAGACATGTGTCCAATCCATAACTCACTATGGGGGTTATAAATAAATCTGGAGGGCACTCTATGCATTGTATAGTTATAACTTTTCACTTATCATTAATGTTTTAAGGGATTATTAGATCTTACTCTTCAAAAAATCATTAGAACTTAATATACACATAAAACATACAAACATTTAATGTTTAATGTCCAACACATCATGTATATAAATAAATGTTAGAAATATCTGAAGGCCCACAATATTTTTAATAACAGAACAGTTACTTTATCAACTTACGCTTCACCAGCAGAAGATAAGACCAATAATAAACTGTGCTGCTAAATCCATTTTTTATTCAGACAATATTTGCTTTTAAAATAAACTGTCCTTGTTGTATTTTTAAATTGTCTCACACAGATACAGTATAAGCTGCAGTCATTACAGGAAAACAAATTCCTCTTTGCGTGTTTTATCAGAAATATACTGTATGACGTCTGCTTTGTTTGTAACAATATTAAAATTGCTTTTAGGCTGTAAAAAAAAAAACATAGCTCTTACTCCAATATGGCAAGGCAGGGTCATGCTATAGGTATAGGGTTATGCTATAGGTGAGTACCTGGGGACTGTAAAGTTTTCTTGACAATTTCAAGGAATCATGGCAATCTTGTTTTTAAAGGATAATTTTGCTTTTATTCATCGACATTTAAATTGTCATTGTATTTATGCATAAAAAACAGTTGCTATAGTATATAAAAAGGAATCGCACTTTACCCTGCACTTTTATATTGAGAATATTCCACCTGAATCAAGATGTCCTGTGTCTTAGGCAAGTAATTTGTTGAGCATTTTCAGGCTGTTTGCATCACAGTTCATCACTTCCAGACAAAAAACTATTTTTGCTTTACAATTTATTTCAAAATATCACAGCCTTTGACACATGGCATTCTGATTGTCACCTGTCACCAGTGGCATTTTCCGAACGACAGGCTGTTTCCTGCTGGGTTTCAGCTCTAGTTCATAAGGGTGATACCATTTTCTACCTTCAAGCCGCATTTGCAGTTTCACCTGCTACGAGTGACATTTCAGAAGAGCACTTTGCAGACTTTAATAATTTCCAACTCTCTTATGGCAATTTGCACAGCAATTTGCTTGCTTTTACCATGCTTTTAGCATTCTTGTTAGCATTTGTTTTCATTTGGCAGTGCTTAATGTTATTAAGTGGAACTTACTCCTAAGCGTTAAGTGTTTCTGCCCATGAAAACATCATGGGTTTTCTGTCTACATTTTCAGTTGTGATCAACTTTTCTAAGCGAGATCTTTTATACATACTTTTACACTCTAAGTGTACTGTTATGCCATTTTAAAAAAGAGATCTTTAGGATCCAAAATGTTAACATAAAAAAACAGCAGATGATATTGATTTACTATATGTATATTGTATGTTTAAAATGTATCTGCAATGCTCAACAACTTGTTTGTGATGATTACAGTTTGTTTTTGTGACTCAATGTTAATAATGAAATGGTACAAAAATGACAGTAGAAGGCCCGCCTGACATGCCAGGCAGTAGAAAATGTTCCCTTTACAATCCTTATAAATCCCTGATTGTTCAGCTGACAGTGATTTACTGCACATGACCCCTTTTCTCATATTTAATTTGCCAATTAAGCTGTCTGACTTTCTTTTCTGGTAATTAGGTGCTATTAATAAAGCAGCTGCCCACGGTGTTCAAACTCAGTCTGTTTTATCATTTTAAATAAAAAGTAAAGAAAAAAAGGGAATAAATGCATTTCTTCAGATGTTTTAGATTTCTACATATTTTAATTTTAGCAAAACATGTATTACAATAACTCATGAAGCTTATTGTGTACTTCCATCCATCCATTTACTAATCCAGTGCAATCCACTATCACTATCCAGTACAGGGTTGCAGGGGAGCTAAAGCCAATCCTGGCAAGCAACAGGCACAAGGCAGGGTCCACCCTGAATTAGAAACCAGTCCACACACACTCACACCAGGGCCAATTGTTCCAGACATCTGTTAACCAACCAGTATATCTTTGGACTGTGGGAGGAAACTCACATGAACACAGGGAGAACATACAAGCTCCACACAGATAGATCCCCAAGTCTTGAATTGAATCCAGGACTCCTTGGCTGCAAGGCAGCAATGCTAACCACTACAACACCACTCCACTTTAATTGCTAACTTATTTAAGAATATAAAATCCAGAAATGTATCCTTCATACCTTAAGTCAGAGCTTATGTCTGACAACCTCCCATACCTAATATTGGCAAAAAAAAATGTATTGCCAGAAACAATGTCAGTTCAAAATTGAAATGAGGTTCAAATGATAATGATACAAATGGATTTTCCCTTTATGATCTAAAATAATACATACCTTAACTATGCCCCTGATGTGCATTTTTGCAATCATCTCGGCAGTGTACAGGAACATGAGCAGGGTGTCCAGGGCAAAGGTCACATACTGAAGAGGAGGGTAGTGTTCAAACGTCTTTGGCGTGTTCATGCACACAGATATGACGCTGATGATTGCACATGCTCTCAGCAAAGAGTGCACCCACTGAAGAAAGAGAAATTGAAGAATAATTGTTACTGTCTGCCAACTTGGCTTACAGAACATTCCCAAACATCTGTTGCCAGATGGGAAAATTTGCCTTTACGAAGATTGTTGCAGGTGGTGAATCCCCTCTAATTAGGGTACTGAAGACCAACACCTGGATGGTGATTTTGAGATCCTTGTGATTTTGGGACACTGGTTAAACTGCTCCTGATTATCCTTTTATATTCTTTGCAATACAAGTTATTTTGAACCATTTATAAACATTAATAACATCATTTTAATTATAAATACGAATACAATATAATAAAAACAAACAGTACTAATTGATTTATATACAGAATATAGCACAAGAGCGCCATGTGTAAGAGCGCAATAGATTCAGACAAGATGGTGATCCCTGTCTGAACCAAATTTCACAAAATCCTGTAGGGAATGAGATGATGTGGGGAATGAGACGCTACCTTTGATCATGTGACCAGTTCTGAAAAGATTATAGTTTTAAAGCCAGGAAGTAAAGGCTTCTAGGGTGGATTTTAATTGCCACCTGTGAACAGAGGGCAGAGCCTCAGTGTGCCAAATTGCTAGAGGGAAGACATGGAGAACGACCAGGAACAGTTTTGGAACGCATTATGTAGAGAAGCATACTGTAGTTTTGATAAGAGTTTTGTGAGGAAGTGTTTGTGAAAAAATTGGAGAGTCTTGGAGAGAGAGACTGAGCTTTGGTGATATTATTGTGGAAGATGGGAGGCACTATCTGGCTATGAGTGGTGAGAACAATGAAGTCCATTGTAAGCTCAAGGAAGAGCTGAGGTTTTTGTTTTGTTACCTCGCACTCTATATAAAACCACTGGCTTTGTGCTCTATGCCTGTGTGCCTGTTTCCTGTGCCTGCCTATGTAGAATTGCACTTGTTACTGCACCCTAATATCTGGGCAAATACTGTAGTTATTAACTGATACCCAATCTAAAGTGTCCCTGTTATTATCCATATTATAGCTGCAATTAATTTTAATTTAATCAGTTTTATCTGGGAAACAGAACTGGCCAAATTCAGTTGAAAATAACAAAGGTAACTATGTTAAATGCATAACACACACTAAACCTGCTGAACATAAATCTTTAGCTTTATATATACCGTATACAGCATATGTTGCTGAAATCTCTACTCACCGGTTTGTTTATCCAGAGAATATCTGCATTGTCTGCTAAGGTTTCATCTGGACCAAAGTCAGTCATGGGTTGGGCCTCAACCCGTGAGCTCTGCTTCCTTTTCAGCATGCTGGGACTAGTGGTACTATACAGGGAATGTATCTGGAAAAAATTACCAAAAAGGGTAGCAGTTAAAAATAAAAGAACCATCACTTAAACTCTTTCAGAAATACTGGATACTCATGCATTCCTAAAGAAATACATCATTTCAACATTCTTACTTGAGCTGAGAATTTTTAAAAATGAGTTACTCAATTTGAGTTTCTTTTAATTCCTTAAAAAATGCATTATTAGTTACCATTACTGCACATTTGCACTGATGTGAAATGGTTTTAGAAATCATCCTTAGAAAAATCCTATTGATCCAAGATATTGGAGGAAAAAAAAACACTTTTACAAACTTTGGATAAACAATTGACACCAAAATCTGTCATGAAACAGGTCACTCTACCAATCAGTTTTCATCTTTTTCTCTCACATCTACAGTAAGTCTTTGTTTCTTTAATGTAATTTTTTCTTACTCTCATACACCAATGTGTACACACCAATTTTTGTTATGGATATTCAATGGTGCCCCCTTTTGAATAAAAAAAACAATTTACAGTAATCAATGGCTGTTTGCTACCCTAACAATTGAGTATTTCTATAACCTGTATGAACGAATCAATAAGAATTAATTTACTATTATTATATTAATATAGACTAGTTCCTTGACATGTAAGTGAACATCTTATGCCTTACTATTTTCTTTACTATACACAAATTTGAAAAAGCGGTTGTTAGTATCAGGTTGAAGTACTATATATTTATGAGCAAAATGTATCTGCAGATCATATGGAGTTCACAAGGGAAATTTGATATACAATTACTGCAGATATTATTAATCAAACATTTTTATGTGAAAATGATAAAAAGGTTTGTTGAAACTATTCCTTACAGTACTTTCATCTGTTTTGATTAGATAGAGTAGTTTGCACAATGAAGTACAATGTACAGTATCCTGTATACTGTTCTGTACATTGAGCAAAGGTAACATATACCATATCGTACAGTATATACATGCTGTATTATATACACATAAATATATTAATTATTGGGGATTTTTGTCACTCTATTCCACCTGCTTCATCAATTAATATAGTTTACTCTAGTTTATAGTTCTAGAAAAAAAAACCTGTGTGTTAAAAAACAAAAACTAGACTGTGGCAAAAGCTTAAAAAATAATAATCAGTAAGATTATTTTAATGGTGCAACTGAACTCCAAAGATTCTGAGCATCAAAACAATTTATCGATCTGTTCATGCATGTACAGTATGTTTTTTAAAATAAAATAAAAATATACAGATTTTGGATATTGATCAAATGTTTTTGGTGTCATTTCATGAATTGATTATTCATGACTGACCGTGATACACTCGGGTGACTTTGTTGCATAAGCACTAAATCACCTCATTAGTGCGAATGTTTATAGCCAAAACACAGTCCATCAATGATAGACCACAGATCTGGGAGACCACAAGTCATGACACCTTGCCAAGATCGAAATATCATCATGCTCCATCTTTTGTGATTGTTTTACACTGCCACAGCAACAGAAACACTAGGTCATAACATCCCACACATCAGCAGTTCAGCTGTTCAGAGGAGGTGGCTAAACAGATACTGTTTGCTGGACAGATGACTACACAGGGGCCCAGTTCACACCAATGTTTATCACCCTAAATTCATGAGATGGTATAAGCAACACTATTACTGAAGAATCAAGGTTTGCTAAAGATCATTCTAATGCATGTCTGGTGGTGTGCAACAGGTACGCAAAATAATACACAAACTGCTGTGTTCAACATACAAAGCAACGGGAGTTCCAAATACAAGTGGGCAGGAGTGTCTAGTTGGATATCAAGCCCTCTTGTAATAACTAATGGCAATCTGATTACATGGCACTACAGTACACTCATCATGTCCAATGTGCTCACTTGCTGCCCTTTCTGTGGGGTTCATGGTGATGTGACAACAGCCCAACATGACAACCCATCCTCTCAGGTTGCTCCTGTAATATGTGGTATCTAGGGCTAAAAGACCAGGGAAAATGCTTTACCAGACCCTATGAGAGGAGTAAGACAGAATCCCACAAGGCAGAATCTTAAACTTAGTGAACATCATGCATTACATACTGTATGTACAGCCTGACTACCCCTTGGGTCAACGCTGTTGATGACAAAGGTTAAGCAGCATAATACATTTATCTAGGTCTTGTCACATTGAATTGTTGGTGTACCTGCTAGCACAAATACATTGGCATTTCTCTGATAACCTTATGAATTTGTTGCATTTATAAGTGATGTTGTTTCATGCTCAGTATAAATCAAGGACAATAAGGCAGACATTTTTGCTTGTCTTCCATGGCAGAACTACAAGCAAATTAATACCATGTAGTCAAAAGTTGCCAAACATTTAGTATCCTTTTAACAGAGTTGTATAAATGCACTGTTTAAATGCTCCTTTGGTGGGGATTCCTTCGTATTGTTTGCATATTGTTTGCTTTCTTTAACATTCTTCAAGAACTACTGCATGAGGTCAAGCAGTTATTTTCTCTACTTGTCAGCACAGCTTTGAAAAGGTGTTGTGGGTTGACCTCATAATCCTTTTTTTATTTTTACTTTAAACCAATATGATCCTTAACATCTACAAACACATGGAACGCCATCAGGAAAACAGTAAGTTTCTCCACTGTACAGTAGGTATGATTTGTACGATGTGAAATCTTACACTTATCATTTTGAGTGAAGCTACTGTGTTACATTGGAAATTGTGAGTGATCTCAGACAGCCAACAGCATTTGGCAGCAATCCCTTTGCTATGAGACTGTTAACAATTACAGTAATATAGGCAAAATATGTCTCGAGCCATTACTTATGAACATGCACCTTCACATAAAACTAGGAAGCGAGATATGGATGAGAAAAATTGGAAATGTACATTTAAAAAAAGAGATTCTTCCTCTTTATCTAAGGGATAGAGCGTAAAAGCCTGTTTCATATTCCATGTTAAAACAAAATATTCCAGAAATACGGTTGAGGTAAGAACTGAACCGGTAGATTAATTGAACAATTAATTGTCCTGATAGACTGATCAGTTAAAAGGCTCATTTTAAAATCCCCAATATACACACAAACAGTGTATCAGCATGTTGCTCTTTTTTGCTGAGTTGTTTGTCTGAGCAAATCTGAGCTATCTTAGAAAACACTCGATAACCTAAGATTAGTCAAAACAGTAATACCTACAGTAACAGTAGAAATACAATTATTTACAATGTTTACAATTAAATTCTGTTTACTTTAAACATATCTAATTCTATTTTTAAAAATACAACTACGTTGTAACGAACATAATTATGTGTTAAAGTTTAGGCCAACCAGACTGTTTATGGATCATATATACAAATGACTAGATTACTAAGAGAATGTACTGTAACAAACTCTCCTACAAGCTGGTCCATCATACTGAGTTTGTTTCAAAATCTGTCAAATCTGCTATAAAACTTATGAACATGCACAATTAAAATTTAACAATATAGAAACAAAGTATTGCATTTCCTTACTCAAACAGTACATAGGGCTACAGTACAAATCACACAATGTAATCTTAGATGACACTTGGGGGTATTTCAAACTGTCACGAAGGACCTATCATCTGAAATGGGAAGAACATAAATACCTCATACGATTAGTCTAATGCGAAATCTTATACTTATTATTTGAGTGGAGCCTTTATCAGAAAGAGCTTACAGTATACTCATATAGTATTCATTTATACAGCAAGGACATTTTACAGGACCAATTTAAGTAAAGTGCCTTGCTTAAGGATACAATAGTAGGACCTCACATGGGATTTAACCCCACAACCTTCCAGTAATGAGTCCAGAGCCTTACCCATTACACCACACTGCTGCCTTACCACAACCTTCTAGTCAGAATTCAAACGTGAGCATCTACTATTTTAATTTGAAACACAATGCACTGTAGTAAACCATACACCTTAATGAGGCTATTATTATTGAATAATAATAATAATAATAATAATAATAATAATAATAATAATAATAATAATATTTTTATTATTATACTCACAAAAGTATAAAACAATATGTAAAGGAAAAATGAAACATGTATACTTACATGTGGAATTATGTTTGCATTACACTGTAGTACCAGTAGATACTGGGGACTCATACTGTACTTAAGCAATGCTGCAGAACACTGACAATTGGATGGTGTTATGCCACAGTTGACATGAACAGGTAATTTCTTTAAACAAATCTAATTAAAAAGCAGCAACAATAGGAATGATCATAATTCCTGGAAATTTATGTATTAGTAACATCATTTTGTTTGGCTAACAACCATCTAATTTTCAACTGCCCTTGAGGCAGTAAACGAATAATAAACATGCATGACAATGGGTGTTAACTGTTAAAACACTTACAGTAAAAGCTGAAACATTTCAAATGTGTACGAATTCAGTTAGGATCACACATTCTATGGAAGGTGCTATGACTTTGTACTGTATTGTATAATACAGTATTTGTACTTACTAACGTGGTAATGTCACCCTGGATAAGGGCATCAACTAAGCAAATGTTCTTATTTTTCAGCATGATTTAAAAACAGATACAATCTCCTTAGCCTATTTGTTTTTACTGGCAATTACAAATCATGCAATGTATTCCTTGACGACACTTACTGTGTTTTTCCAAAGTACTTCAAATTGTTACAAAGGACATTTTTTTTTTTTAATGGGAAGAGGGTAGTAAACCTCATACTGTAGGTGAGACCATGAGAAGCCCATTTGGAAATATGCCCTTCAGAAGTGAGAGGCTTGACAACTAGTCTATGCGTGCAATGCCTGAAACACGCAAATCACATGTGAAGGAATCTACAGTAGCTCTTTTTTATAATACAGGAACAAGTAATATTGTAGGTTTATTCCAAGCTGAAAAGAGAAGAGAGAAAATACAATGTTTCGGCGGTGAAGCCTTCTTCAGGTGTGAGAAAGACTGTCTTCTCACACCTGAAGAAGGCTTTACAGCCAAAACGTTGTACAGTATTTTCTCTCTTCTCTTTTCAGCATGGAATAAACCTTTTACTTGTTCCTTTGCAGACTACACATGTGGATGCAGCCACCCACTTAAGCTACTTTTTTTAATACAGTGTCAGTTTTGACACAATGTGAAACAAACCAAATATGCCAAAGCCCTTTGAAAGCTGCTTCTTCTTGAAATATCCATGGCATACAGACAGAAAATGGTGCACTACATACACTAATGCAGCACAAATGTGGCAAGCATTCGTACACTAAAACAAAAATGTCAGGCAACACAATTAAGATTAAAGTGCTACTGTACTATTGGGCATGAACTGCACTGCTTTATAGCAAGCATCAGCCAAAACACATGCAGGACACAGAAAAAGATAGATTTTGCTTTTAATGGCTTTGGTAACTTACCTGGAAAGAAAATGTCAAGACATGTCTGCAACAACAATGTGGGAACCTGAGACTGTGTGAGCACTGTGCAATGACCTTTTTATACAGTTGACAATAAGATGCAATGAAATCCACGAGAACAAAGCGCACATACCAAAGGTAAAAGTAATGCTGAAATTGCTCCAGCACGGCACATAACATGCGATCAGGCATACCCTGCAAATAACACATGATAGTTAGTCAACATGGCATACAGTACGTGGTAAACCAACAGATACTGCATATAGACAGGAACGTTAACCACAGCTGACAGAGCATATATACGACATTCAGTGAGGGCCGTGGACAGACCACCTAGGGGACAATGTCACTCACTGTCAGACTCCTCATGGGTGCGCTCATCCCAAGGAAACAAAGATGGAGAAATCTGCGAGAGACTACGTGCCGGGGTTTTCAACACCTCCTGATTCCTGTCATCAGAAAGACATCAGACTACAGCAGCATGATGGGAATAACTTACCTTCAAGAGCCACAACAATGACTGTGGGGAAATGCAGCTAATTGTACCACGGAGAACGTCTATGTTGCACCCAAGGTAGCATCACTGTACTGTGACTCCAAATGCCCTGCAGAGAGCTTTGTATTGGCAACAGTACATTCCTTAATCTTTTGCCCATTTCACATGCACAAGCAGGCAAATCCTATTTGGTTTTCATTTTGTTATAGTATGGGGGTGTCTTGAAGTGTCACTTCATGTTTGATGTCAGCCTTACAATATACAGTACTGTACTGTGCAATACTGTATATGTCCTTTACTATATGTGCAGTATATCCTGTAAATATGCCTAATGCATAGAACTCTTATGAAAAACAACAATCACGTTTCACACAGTCTTTAAATGCAGTAATGAAACTGCACAAACTGCAGATGTGAGTACCACACTGTTGATTGTATGTTATTATATATGCATATCTATACCTCTACACCAAAGTCAGAGATCAGGAACCATGTTAAAATAGGGAAGAAAACTCTCTTTCTCCCCTTCACAACAGAAATTATCACTTTAGATTAGGAGTTGCAAAGGTCAATTATAAATGTTTTACAAATTGAATATTTTAGGAAAAAACGCCAATGCTAATGACTAACTCAGATCTAGCCTAAGCATTATTTGCAGAAGGTACAGTAGATTGTTCCATAGGTAATACGTTATGTATCAACAGCTTACATATATTTATCAAGTGCAATTATAATAATAATAATAAAAAACTTTATTTTATATAGCACCTTTAAAGGTGGTTTCTCAAAGCACTTTACAGGATGACAACAACAATAAATAAGAAGAATACACAAGATAAAACACAATTAAAATATAAAGAGGAGACCGTGGATGGTACTAAGAAAAGCAGAGGGGTGACGAATGAAACCAGTTAAGTAAAGGCTTTTCTGAAGAAGAGGGTTTTGAGTCTGGATTTGAAGGAGTTTAGAGAAGGTGAGTCTCTGATATCCTTGGGGAGAGAGTTCCAGAGCTTAGGGGCATAACAGGAGAAGGCCCTGTTACCCATACAATGTAGACGGGCTTGGGGGACAGTAAGGAGAGCAGAATTAGAAGAGCGAAGGTTGCGAGGTGGGGAGTAGGGTGATAATAGTTCAGACAGATACTGAGGTGCCAAGCCATGCAGAGCCTTATAGATGAGCATGAGGATTTTAAAGTCTACATGGAATTTGACCAGAAGCCAGTGCAAGGACTCCAGGATAGGAGTAATAGACCTGGTCAATTATGCAACCCCCAAACAAAACTGTGACCAAAATACCCCTATACATGAACATTTTATAGATCCTTATCTTCCCAAACAACAGACCAAATATTTCTCCTATTTTTTTTCTCACTACTTTACAATCCCTTCCTTCCTGTTTGCAAACACTTTCATGTAACATGGCAGTTGTATGATGTTGGAAGAATTGTTAAAATAATCAACCTGTAGGCATCAGAGAATATAAAAAAAGGAATAATATTGACCAAATTATCAATAAATGCATATCACCTTACTCCTCACTTCTGTTAAAAAAATAAACTATTGATAAAAGTTATCAATAGTAAAACATTAGCAAGATACAGTACAACTGGAGGCTTCCCAGACTGACTGGGTTAACTTTTTCTTACCTAAGGCTCTAAGGTTTTCATTGATGTAAACTACAGATGTAAACTACAGAATAAATTAATTATTTTCTGAACTGTCAGGCAAAGTACCTTGGCAGGCAGAGAATATGCACCAGGATCTGAATGATTTATTATCTGCTATGTATTATAAGGGTATGACAAATGTGTTTAAGATTAAAGACTAAGGAAAGGCATGCAGGAATTGACACTGATCAACTAGTGCAAGAACTCTGGGACTTTATGATCTGTTAACTAAACCTGTGGAAGAGCCATTGACTCACCTGCTACATTTCTTAGCTGTAGCCACTGGCTTAAAGAATCCGCATTTTGACTCATCCCAATAAAAGACTCTTTCCAAACGTTATTGTTTGGAGCCTAAACAATTGTCATTGTTTCTAATCCAGATTTGATCCCCGACAGACCTTCACTCACACATTAGATTCAGAAGCTTATTAGGTTTGAGTACATTTCAATTACTTCTGACAATAAATCTGCCTTGTCTTAATTTACTGGTACAGGTTATTAACATAGTAAGGATAAATTTAATATTTAACGTTCTCCACTAAAAATTAAGAAATTAAGAACTCTGCCTTTCAAAATATCAGTTTTAAGTCGTCCATCCATTACTAGAAATCTGATTATTCCTTGTAAGGTGGATGCTGCACATTGGTGGTATAGAGGAGTCCCCGTTGACTGTAAAGTTATTTGAGTGGAGTGTCCAGAAAAGTACTATATAAGTGTAAGGAAATATTATTGCTATTACTGTATCTTTTTCCTTGTAGCCCTGACTAGCTCTGTTGGTAGAGCATGAGACTCATAATCTCAAGGAAGTGGGTGTGTGTCCCACATTAGGTGCAAGGTTCTTGCAACCAAGGAAGTCTCCAGTCGTGCCGATTACTTGTACCACTGGACCCAGGCTTCTAAGGTCGAGAGAGTGGGACTACCTCAGTGCAACTGCTGTCCCACTTAAAATAAGCTCCCGCAATAGGTCTCAGTCATCATCAGACACGACGGACAACCGACCATCCATCCGTCTTTACTCCCATATAAATACACATTATAAAATAGTGTTAATAAAAATGTGGAATTCTTGTTGAAGGTTTGAAGGTATATTTTTAGCCAAGAAAATGAAGATGAATAAAAAGTAGGATACCCACAGCAACTCTTCTTTCTTTATTATCTGGAAGGAAGTTTAGACTGAGAAACAGGACCTCAGCCAAAGGTGACCAATTAGGACACCAGTGAAAAAAGTCATTAGGTGCACTCTCCTTTCCCACCAGGAAAATTTATTTTCAGGAAAAGATTGTGGCACAAAGTGCAACACAAGCTTTATAATAGGATTCAAAACACTCACGAATTGCTTTAAGATAACTGGGCAGATGAAGATTAAGATATTCAAGAATTGCAAGACATTAAGACAAATTAGAAGTAAGGTTTTTTATTCTTATATAAGCGGGCAGAAATTGAGAATAAGATAGTCACAAGTTAGTTAAAATGTAATTACTACACTTAACATGTTTTGCCTGTGGTTTGTGGAAAAAATAAATTATAGGGTGCCTTAGCAACAGTGGGAGTAAGTTACCAAAGACTACAATTAGCTTTAGCCTTTAAGAAAGGTTATTTTATCATGACAGGATGCAATCACTGAGAGGATTAATTGTGTACTATTAGGTATGTATTAGTTTCTTAAATGCTAATTCTGAAATATGTTCTCGAGAAGTGTGCAGCATTTTAAGAATGTTAAAATTACTACATAACACAAAATGTTTATGCAAAAGTCTATATATTAGAGGGGCATTTACTGTACATTTCTTCTAATAGGAAAACATATAATACCCACACTTCAACATCAAACAGTTTTCAGCCTTCAAGAAATCTTTATAATATATCTCTTGCTGGTGTCATCCTGACGAAAATCCTTTTGCAGATGTGCGGAAATGTTTCTACAGCATTTAAACTAGTGTATGGGTATTACATTTTGGCATAAAATTGAATGCATGTCTTGTATTATTTATGTACAGTATGCCTTACTTTGCACTTGATTCTTTACTAAGCCATGTCATCACTTTGAAACTTTAATATTTTCCGGTCATTATGTGAAAAACATTTATATTACATCTCAGAAGGTTCTTTCACATATATGCTTGCCAATTTATAAATCTAAATTGTTCCTTCTCCCTTTACATTTAAGGCAAGGAAACATTACTGATGAAAGAAATATTATGAATAATGAATTTTCCCAACAGTAATACTAAGAAAATGCTTTACAATTTAAAAACCAGGAAACAATTTTAGGAAGTATTCTACACTTTAAGTGGGAAGTGATTTTTTTTTCTAGCCTGTGAGCTGTTGTTGGTTTAGTTCAGAAACATTATTTCCACTTTGGACTGTGATTTTGCCAGAAGGAAATATCAATGGAAAAGAGACTGTAATTACTGTATAAAATTGTGTACTAGCAGAAAAAGGCATTATAATGAGTATGTGTTCTTTAAAGGTAAGGTTAAAGAGAACAGAATTTCCTACACTGAACTGAACACAGAAAAGCATAAACATCGAAAGACCATTCTGTCTGAGAATATCCAGCACCCAAAACTAGTACAATACACTCCCTGAATGAATTTTCAGAAGCTTGAAAACACAAAGTCAGGCAGAGATGGGAAACATCAAAACACAACAGTAAATAGAAAGGGACAGATAACCCATATATTTACTTCATGACTGGTTATTTCTCTTACTCCATATAAGTACTGTACATCTTGCCAGTTAACAATGCATGGTTACTGGGGTAGGCTTCATGAATTATCTATAAAGCAGTTAGGTAAGCATTAAGTTTTAAAACAACATCCCTATTTCCTTTACACGTTTAATTTTGAAAAAAATATCTACCTGTTCCATTGGAATAGATTATGAATGCACATATGTACAGCTCTGCTATTTAAATTCTAGCTGGAGTTTCCAGTAATCAGCCAATATACAGTATTTAACATCACAGCTACAAGCTAAAAGGGAAGGTTAGCACTTTGAGATTATGATTTCAGTGAAACCATTTTATGATTTAATGGTAAAGTACACTAATTGAAGAAATTTATCTTTACCAGACAGATTCTCCTGTGAATTAGGTCTACAAAAACATATACATCAACTAAGGAATATTTTAGTAGGCCAATAACTGCTTTAAGATTTTCAATATCTGTCTTGTTTTTTTATGAGTCAGCCCTTTGGCTATTAATAATATTAATCTGCCCTAGATTTTATCAAGAAATTTCAGAATATCAGAGATTTCATTAGCATACTATTACTTAAAATCAATAAAGCCAGACAAACAATTACTGGATATATGGAGGCCAATTCTACTTGTGAACAGGTTAAAAAATAATATATGATAATTAGACGGCTGCTAAAAAAAATCTGTTTATAATCTAAGCATCTACGGACAGTAAAATAAGTTATTAAATGTCTGTAAAAACCATGCATCCTCAGAATTACTTGCAGTCTTATTTATGCTAATTTAAAAGACAAATTAGAGTTATACATTTCACTTTATTTTAAACATGTATTACTTTATCTAAAGGCATGCTATTCTTCTTTGACTACCTGAATTGCTGTACATTACGGTATGACAAATGACATCTCTATGGTATAGAATTTAGTTCCTTTTAGCAGGGGTCTTAAAGTCCAGCAAGTGTTGAGGTCTTACAGTACATGTACAGTATGTGCTCTTAAATAGGTTTTATGGAATAACCAGTTTAGCTTTTCTGCCTCGCAGCGCTGGGAACCTGGACTCATTTTAGGGAACCTATCTGCATGGAGTTTGTGTGCTCTCCCTGTGTTCATGTGAGTTTCCTCCCTCTGTCCAAAGACATACTGGTAGGAAAACTTGCTTTGGTGTGAGTGTGTGTGTTTGTCCGTGTGAACCCCGGGGTTGGACTAGTGTCCTGTCCAGGGTGCGCCCCTGCTTCCGCCTGTTTGCTTATTAGGACGTGCTTCAGCACATCATGTCCATGTCCCTGAATTGAAGGTGGTTAGAAACTGGATGTATGGATGGATTATAGCAAGTTTTATTTTTATTATTAAAAGTTTTTTTTTTAATATAGGCTCTACTTATTTATGATGATTGCGGTTAAAAACAACAAAGACTAATAACAGAAACCTTTCAAAATTTATAGTAACCATCAAAATCACATTTCAACTTTGTAACAGTCTTGCATTATGGCAGTTTCCACTGTATGAAATACTATGGAAATTAATGCACAGACTTGCAGAAATTAAAAATAACAAAAATGGAGAAACCTGGACACAAGTAAAAGTATATTATAGTGCCCATTGTTTCAACAGAACATTTATAGAATTAACTGAAGTAACTATACATGCCTGGCACTCACTCTGATATCTGAGAATATACTTTATAGTTTAAAAAGAATGTGCACATTAAGATATAGTATAGATTTAAATGTGTTTTCTGTTTATTCTTAGATTTAGTGTAACAGATGTTTCAGGGTCAATGGTGAGTTAAGAGGAAATTCAGCACAGAAAGCTGATCTTCATTTTGGAAACTCAAAAGAAACATACCACAGAGGTCCCTCAGGAGTGTAAAGCAAATTAATTGGGTTTTTTTGCGGGGAAGTAATGGGGGCCGGGGTTTCAACTGGGCCAAACAACAATGAAACCCAAAAAACAATTGAACAAAGCCGAATGTAATTAAAAAAGAAAAAGTAAAAAAACAAAAACAAAAAATAAAAAAAAAAAGGCAACAAGGTTGCCTTAAGGGAAAGCAAAAACAAAACAAAACATAGCCACTCACAGTAAAAAAAACAAAAAAAAAAAATTAACTGTAAATAAACAGAATATAAAGGTATTTCCCAATCGCTGCAGAAGAGTCAAGACACAGAGATATTTTGAAATGAACAGCTGTTTTCCTGGATTGTCTGAGCTACTCCACCAAACCTGTCCCGTAGTTTACAGCCTGAACCGGTGACATAGGGATTTTAAATCCTTTTCATTTTTGGTGTGGGCATTAAAACCTATACTGTATATGCTTAAGGCCTAAAAAATATCCATACAAATTTGCTTTAGGGAAACACGATTCTCAACTGGTAAAAGAAAGGTTATTGGATTAAGAGTAACTATTTAAAACGATGCATATTTGGGTAATACTCCATAAAATATTTTTAAATGTTAAGATGTTCGGATTTTTAAACGCTGTATGAACGCCAAATAAAACGATACACAACAGCACGTATTGGGTAACCATGGAAACAGCTGATGAGGTTTGTGCTGCTCCTGTCCACACATGCTTAAATATTTTATATTTTACGAACGTGTATGACCAGATCTAATATATATATATAACCTTCATAGGTATCAAATCTATACACGCTAACTGCACATATCCGTACAAATCATGTTCTAAACTGTTATATGTATTAGGCCTAGGCAACCAGAGAACAAACAACCAGAGACAAATATAACCCGAAAGCATCAATGCTTAAAAACAAAGCACTGAACGGAGTAGAAATTAACTCCACATTTTATAGAAAATAATGCAACATTACTTACTTGCAATTCTACTCCCCTTTTTCTCAATGCAATATTCTATCCATGTCTTCATCAGATGTTATGCCTGTGCTTTTTTAATTTAGCTAACTGGTTGGTCGCAGTATGATCAGCTGTACAATCACATCAGCTGAACAGCTGCTACGGAGACGCTCCATCCCCTGCTACTGCGACGATCTGCACTCGACACGGGTTAGTCTAGTAAACGGACAGGCCTTAAATTGTTACTTTGTCGCAGAAAGCTTAAGAAATGTACAATAAAAAATATAAAGGGAAATATGCATAAAGTATTTTCAGTGCCTGAACTACAGTAAGTATGATTCTTATCATTCACAGAAATCGTATATTCTATTTACCTGCACATCGCTATACGTTTTAACATACAATTTAACACACCGTGTACAATTAATATTAGTATGCAAGTCCCAGTAAATATCAAACAGTTGGACATGGTTGCTAATTGAGTTTATATGGCATAAAAGGGAATTAAAAGTCTCTTTGCTTTATATCTCTCAGTGGTGTGAAACTGCAAGAGCTGTTTCCAATCCCATAATTCAAATACAGTACTATTAATGTCTTGCATTTTTATAATGAAACTGATAAAACTAAAAGTGAAATAAATAAATCTTCAGATGTACTGTAAGGAGTAGTGATTTATATTTTAATTTTGAATATTAAAATGTGGAATATTGCTCCTGGCATATATGGAAATTAGAAAAAAATGTTGTTTTCCATTGCAAATATTATGAAATATAATAACAATAAATTATATTTGTCAATAATCCTTAGGAGGAATATGCCTTACTATTCACCATATTCAGGACTGTAGATACTGTACCAAAACAAACTTGTTTAGGCCATTAGAAAGAATGGACATTTTTCCCAATAATAGATTAGTGTTTTTTAAAATATGTAATTTTACCAAAAATGTAGGTTATTTGAACTTTTTATGAGAAAAATGGACAAATTGAATGTGTTTTCTGCAAACACATTTTAAGTTAAACCAACTATTTTTTTGTTTATATTATTTAACTTTGACTTAACATAATTTAATGAAAGAAAATCTCTGATTTGCAAATTAGAATGTTTTTTTGGTAATGATGAAGGGTACTGTATAGTATTACAAAGAACTCATCTTGAATCTGGTGGTCTTGGTTGTGTTTCATTCTGTTAACTCACTGGTACAGTAGATTACTGAAAAGAGGTGTTTTGTCAACTGCCAGACCAGTTTAGTAAAAGTACTAGTACTACACCTGGTTGACAAAGCTATTTGTTTTATTGAATTGCACACCTTTAAATATCCCAATAAACCATTCCATACAAGTACTGTATATGATTAACTTTCATAGCTGCACTGATTTTTTTAATCAATGTTTTTTTTCAATCAATGATTGTTTGTGGGTGTTTTAGAATGTGAATCTGCTTTATTTCTCCAGTCTACAGTATGTTTGTGTGTTCTGTGATACAATTCTGCTATAAATTCCACAACATTGAAAGCTTACAGATGTAGAAATGTAGTATGGTATTTCCTGAAATGAGAAGAGCAGTACTCCTTTATATATATATAATAAACTCTGTACTTCCAAGGTACTGTATTTGCTAAAATATAAAATTAATTACCATAACATATTAATTACTACAAGCTAAATGGTTGTAGTTGCTGCCCGGTCTGGTTTCTAAACATTTGGTTTTGGCATGTTACTCTTTTTTAGACTGCTGAACAAGAACTAACAGTCAGAACTAATCAAAGGCACTTGCATGGGAAAAGCTATTGGCCTCTGAAGGGTTGAGCCGGTTTTGGCCAGCTTTTAGCTTGCTCTCTCTGTGTTTGGAAAACTTGAAACTCCTGAAGGCATTTCACTTCAGGTTTCTCTGGGATCTAAACATGCATGCAGAGGCTTTGTTGAACTCCGTTTTAGTCACTTCAGTTTTGATTATTCTCTCAGCTGTTCAAGACGGTTTATCTCAATCATTGAGGTAAGTTCTGAACTAGATCTGTCTTTTTTTTTTTCTGGCAGCTTCTGAAAGATTATTTACCCACAAGGGAGGAGACCTAAGACTCATTTCAGAACACACACGAAACTGAAGTTGTTACTCACAAACAGTACATCAAAGTGTCAAAATGATTACTGCAGTATGTCAGACATTGTTTTCTTTGTGCTTACATTTGTGCTGCAGTAAGATAACTTCTGTAACATACAATATTTTGAATGTCAGTTTGAATACTGGGTGAAAAATGGGTGGGTTTTTTTGTCCTGGCCTTCTTGCCTAAAAGAAGACATCTATACTCATCTATAGTGAAAGGAAGCGGGTTTATTTAAAGACCTCGATAAATGTTAAAATTCTTCATTTTAGTAATTTTGCTATCTGCGTGAGAATGAAGATTTTACCTTAATCGACATTAAAAATACATCTATTTTAAGTACATCTAACAAGCTAGGACTGGTTATGTCTGTTTTTTCAATGAGTTTTTTTTAACTTAGGAAAGTTTTTAAAGAGGTACTGTACACGGAACATGTTTTAATATAACAATTAAAATAGAATTGAAGGAATTTCACACTTTTTCTCAAAGAAAAAGTCTCTCAAATGCAACATGGATGTAAATATCCACAGTATTAGGTGAGAGCTTTCCACTTTTAACGTTATAATGATTATAATGTCATAATAATATGGAATAATATTGCACTTCAGAATTGCTTTTCTTCAGTAGTATATTAGACCAGAAAACACAAGAAAGAATAATGTCATCAAGAAGCCCCCTGTGCAGTTCCAACAGCTGGAATGTTGTTTACATAGAGACTGACCAAGCAGGTGCAAAACAGTATAATAAAGTTATGTAATAGTTTTATTCCTATTAAGTCTCATGTGCACACTGCTCTGTTGTACCAGCCGTTTAGAAAAGGTTAACATATTTGCAGCAGAAATTAATTGACAGCACTTCAAGCTTACTGTATGTATCAAGTATAAATTCTTAACTATTTCAAGTATCAAGTATAAATACTGTACACTTCTCAACTATTATTTCAGTGAAACAAAAAGGTCTAAAAAATATACAGTATATTCTCTCCATAAAATCGCATCTTACCGCTGTAGTTAGCGCAATTAAAATGGTATTGATTAAAATGTTCATTATTGCCTCATTATATTTTCCATTTTAAAATAAAATAGCCGAACAGTTCTCTGCAGATTCTCCTGACTAAAATTTTAGAGAAAACTTTTAAAAAGCTGAGATAGAACAAACAGTATTGAAACTGATTATGGTAACAGAAAAAAGTGGGTATATAATATAATACTAATAAGCCATTATAGATTAAATTATTTTGTCTAAATATAATATTTCCTAATGCATTATTATCCTGATGTACTTTAATGTCATTGGTGAAGAAGGCCTCAGAGTTACAACATCCTGTTTCTTATTCATCCTTTCTATTTTAAACTCTAATTATTCCTGATGTTGCTGGTTGTCAGGCAATCAGAAAGAGTCACATGGCCTTGAGGCCTATATAACCCTTGTAGCAAGTACAGGTGTTTATGTTTCTTCCAGAATGGTAGGATACACATTTGCATAAATTTTAGTCTCAATGTAAATTTGGAAGCCTTAATTCATCCTTTTCGTATGATTGATACTACATTTTTTTCTCAATAAATATACACTAAATGTGTCTTTACTTGATATTTGTCTCCACAAAATACAAAGAGGTGTTTACCAAGCCAAAAGGAAAGGCAGGCAGCCAAAGTAAAAAATGCCAATTTTGTAAATATCTATTTTAACATCCTAAACTGAAGTTTAAACTAAAGTTTGACATACAAAAAGTCATGATAAGTGTGGTTTTTTTTTAAAAAAACACGTTTTTGTAGTGATAGACTTTGCTTGGACCTTCATTTCTGTACCTTACAAACTAGTATTTGACCTGGGTGTTGAGGGCACAGTGGCTTTGTGGAGCTGTTTTTAATCTCAGAAAAAAAAAAACAGAACTGAAAAATCTCAGTACATGTACTTCAATATTTTCTTAGCCTGAATATTATAATATTGTACCTTAGAACTCTGGCATCATGGGTACTGGTATATCACCTGATATACTACTGCAACATAAGGATTAAATTGTATTGTGTTCAACAACAAAACTGTTATGGTCTTGATTTTACCTTCCAATTCCAGCCAATTCATTGAAAAACCTCTGAATGTTTTGGAAAAAAAAACTATTATCACTGAATATCCCTATAAATGCCAGTGGATGGCAAAAAAATATTGCCATGGAATGTCATGGAGTTACCAAGTGAAATATATTGCACTTCAAATTCTGGGTAGGGAAATGATAGACTTGGAGGTGCAGGCAGAGATATAACAGAATACATTTAATGGCCAGGGTGACAGAATCGGTGGTTGACCAACTCTCTGTGTGTGGAATTCTCCTAAGGATTTTCCAAAGTCTCATATGGAGAGTACACAACGCTCTGTATTGTGGAACATTTTTTTATCCTGTAATTCTCAGGCATTATAGTAGTTTACATAAATATACAATCATGGAAAAATGTGGAATATATTTATTTTTTTGTTACCACACAGAGCAGTTTTAGCGTTTTTATGTGAATGAGTCGTCTGGCTGAGATTCCTGTGTCATATTCTAACTTAAAGTAGATCTCTATCTAGATCAGCAAATATAAAAGCTTACAGTACCCCGGTTCACTTACAGTACCCCTGTTTAGTGAAATTTGTTGTGTTCCAATTGATACAGTTGCAATAACACATAAGGTCTTGAAACTTGAAAAAGTAAGATTTTGAGATAGTGAATTGTAGACATGACCAGCTCTGAAAATTTACATTACAGTGGAAAATAATTTTAAAGAGGCATCTGGCGTGCTCTAAATGTGCTTATTGACTGCCAAAAAACATTTTGTCTGTCTTATTGTATGGAAAATCTAGATAATTTTAGTCACATCAGGTCTTTTTTGCAAATAAAACAAAAGTTTATCGTAAATTGTATAAAACGTTTCAGTTATTTGATTAGGGTGTTATTCTTCTCAATGTAAGATCAGAGAATATAAGACTTTACAAAAAAGGAAGAAAGAAGGCATTACAAATTGTACAGTATATGTTATATAATGTATGAAGTTTGATATGAATGATACAATGGATTTGCAGAGTAGAACATAATTTTAAGGAAAAATGATTCTGAATAGACAGTATAAAGGCAGACCATAAAAGAATGCCCTATGCCAATTTAATAAAGGAATTGTACTTTTATCAGATGTCATTTTTTCAGGAGTAAAAAGATTTAGTTTGACATTTAATCCCACACATTTAATACATCTTTTGTATTGTAATGGCAAATTCTAAGAATGACAAGGTTATGATGCATGAGCTTACTGGCTAAATTTGTGTTATAGGAGGCATTTTGTGACTCACTCTTTGCTTTGGGTTTAAAAGACAGGAGGCTTTCTGTTGGCATATGTCAAAGCTGCAGAAATTATGTTTAATTTTGCTCCAGGATGAATTGTTGGACATGATTCTTGTAAGTCTGGGTCTTGTACTGTACTGTGAGATTTACCAGTGAACTGAGCAATCGGCAATAACAAATCAAGGTAGAAGCCAAAACAGAAAGTGTTACAGCAGAGAAATAATGGGAATGAAGGAAGCAAAACATAAGATATTCAATATACAGTAGTATACTCTACCATCCATTTGGAAAAATATTTCTATAAAACTGTTAAAGAATTAATGGGTGAGGCAAGGCAAGTTCCAAAGCTTTTCATACCACAAAAAAAAAATCACTCTTCATTTTCTGAAGTTACAAAACAGTTCAAAGTGTACAGTAACAGGATACAATGTGAGTACGGAAAAGAGAGATGTGTTTTTTGATCATTTATACACTTCTCTAAATTAAATTTAAATAGACTAAATTTCGGTCTAGGAATATTTGCTGGAGTTTCTTTGGAGTTAGAATAAGCTGAGCAAACTTTACAGCAGAAAAATCCCTTCAAAAGTCATTTTATAATTGGGAACGTCAGTCTCATATGAATAGAGGGAAATGCAAACAGTTCTTTCTGACGTTACTATAATGTATCTAGCGTATATGGTTTTGCAGGACAACTCTGAAACCTTCTGAGTCTGAACTCAGTTCTGCAACTGATTAGAGCATTTTCCCGAAGTTATAGTTTAAAGAAAAACATATATCTATTCTTGTTTAAGGACTGCGAGTGGAGCTTGCAGACTATCAGCAGAATCATCTCAGAGACGGTGCAGGACTCCCGATGGTCTGATCTGCAGTGGCAGAGGAGAATGTGACTGTGGGGTATGCATATGTCAAGTGACTGACCCTGGGAAATATTATGGGCCCCGCTGTGAATGCCATGACTGGGTCTGTGCAACATATGATGGGAAGACCTGTGGTGGTAAGCAAATATTACGTCTTTCATACAGCAGCCCAATCAGTTACTTTCTGGATGCTTTACAATAAGCCTCATAAAACCAATGCTCCCCAAACACAAGATTTTGATGAGAGGACTCAATGAGAGGAAGGCACAGCTCATGCTGTGATAGAAACTTCACATGCTTTATATTTTAGATTTATTTCTGTTGTTATTTTCCGAATGAATCAATCCCCCTTTCTTCTGGATTTACGTGATCCCCCCCCCGAGATAATTTCTCATTTTAAGCAGAAATCTGTCAGCTTTTTGCCTATCTTATTAAACATCTTACACGTTTTCATTTCTGGAGTGCAAGGCAGGGACACAATTGTATTGGCTTCAAAGGCTTCTAATTTTACTGATTACGTCATAATCTCCCATTTGTTTGGATAGGAATTCTTTGAACCCAGGAAGCAAGTTGGCATTTTGGAACAGATTCTCAAAGAGATGCGTGCCCACACAAATCCATTAAGTTTCTATGAGCATGAATGCACACTTCTCCAGGAATCAAAGGCATTGTCTGGCTCCTATAGGACTTTGAATTCTATTGACATTGCTACCTGCAACAGCTGTGACATGAGCGACATTTGAAGTCGGGGGCGAGGGTAATCATTTGTGATGACCTTTCAGCCCACTCTACAGTATAAAAGCACTAACATTAAGATATCCATGGAATTTCAAACACTCTGGTCAGCTCTAAATACTGCAGAGAGGTAACTTCACAGTGAGAAAAGACAGTAGATTTAGCGCGTTAGTGAATTACAAAGAGATTTTATATTAAAGCTAACTAACAAGTTAGTATTTTGCTTTTGCATGTTTTCTTTATGATTTAAGGTTTTTAAGGTTGATATACACATTAACAACAGTTCTAAAAGTATTTTCAGTAATTGTGCAAATTAAAAGTGGTGAGAGTATAATCTTATCTCTAAAACGATCCTGTTTTTATGTTTTGAATATGTTTGCAATTTAAAGCAAAATTGTAAAGTCTCCTCATACAGTATGTATTGTACACAATCACACAGACACGGTTTATTGTTTTAATAGTTACAGCATCAGTAATAAAACAAAAAGTTCCATTAGGGTATACCGTAGTTTAAATCTTGCTGGATGGAATTTACTCAAAGCCACATCTTGGCTCTTGATTCCTAACATGATGTAAAATCATTATTGTTGGGGACTGAAGACCAACAATGTTAGCAGCTGTCGGAAAGAGTGAAGAGTGGAAAATGTGTTACACACAAAGAAAGTTAATCAGGTTGCTGTACTGATGCTAATAAAATCTATCAAATGCCACTTCAGTGTATATTCCCTTATTTGAAGGTTTCTGGATGAGTTGTTAAATAAGGACGTTGCTACAAGCCCAGGAACATTTTTAAGACATGGTTATAATATGTGGAACTGTAAATTAAAAAAAACACCTTGAATTGAGGTGGAGTATATTTGTGAAGTGATGTGGTAAAGTCCTCATTTAAATCTGCTGATACAAATAAATCAGGATCTCAGAGTTGCCTAGAAGCAGGTTTCACTGGAGTGTGGCTGCATTGCAATGATGATACCTTTCTGGTAAATTTCAAAGACAAAAAGAAGAGTTTATCCTATTAAGAGTCCAAATGGAAACCTCATCATAAAACAAACACTAACATTCGAAGTCCAGATGACAGATTTAAATCCAAAGTGGAAAAAAAATGAAACTTCTTAAAGTTAAAATTTCCCTTCAACAATAGAGCAATAGTGAGTAAAATCACTATTCTTAAGGAATGGCATCCTCCAAGAATTAAATGGGTTGAAAATATGTAGTTAGTGTTTAGTCATAGTCAGATTTGTCTAAAAGTGCTTGGCTGAGGCCAAGTCCCCTGACTGTAGGACGTGGAGGCTGGAACCCCCTGCAGAGTGAGGAGTGTGTTAGGGTTTAACATCCTTTCCCCTTGAGGGCGCTCCAAATTCCTGAGTCCTAGTCTGATTGCTGTATTATTTCCAGGTGTTAAGAATCAGTGTTGATATATAAGCCTAGAGCTTCCGATACTCAGGGCTCAGTGTTAGGACATGAATGTCCAGAGGGACTCCTAATGTCCAGAAGCGGGACGCCTAGAACCAAACCACGGAGTCATCTGAGGGCACAGGCCTTGCCAGAGACATCATGCCCCCTGAGCCCAGGGTTCTGGAGGACCGGGCCCTGTTGTCACGATCGTAAATTCCTAATCTTAAGGACGCTCCAGCCCTTCCTCATTGACCTGATCTCCTGCACCTGCCTCCTGTTCCAGTCTCCCCTTTAAAAGCCAGACGCTCCCACTATTCTGGGCTCAGCTTTGGAAGACGGACGCCACAAGGCTTGCCTATTTTCCGGGTTGTCTGAAGGCAACCATTTTCCCCTGCGTCCTGACCATCTAGATCCGGGGCTTGAAGCGCCTGGCCCCGTTACCCTTTTTTATTCCTCCGACCCTTCACCGGATCCCGCCCCGGTTTTTAACTCTGTGCCATGGATTTCCTTACAAACACCCTTTGGACTTGTTTGCCTTGGACCACGCCTCCCCAAGCACCGAGCACCTTCGTCACGCCCCCCTGTTCCTCTACCAGCCCAGTTTCTCGTCTCCTCCCTGTGTCTGTTCACTCCCTTCCAGATTGTGCTGTCTGCACAGGGTCCTGAAAGACGCTTCGTGACAACCTTAGGTTCTTGGACTGTTCCTGATTTCCCTGTGTCTGTCTATTTGGATGGATCTCCCAGTTTAGGATTATTGAACTATGCCCTGATTTACCCCCATCATGGACTTGCTTGTTTTCCCCTGTTCACCAGAGCACCTGTTGTCACTGGGCACTAACTTTGCAAATAAGCCTTTGTGTATTTTCCCTCATGTCCGGCTCCTGTTTGTCTCTGGTTACACTGCACCACTGCACCACAGGCTGTGGCCAATTCGTGACAGAGTGACCAAGGGGCAGATGCACAGGTGGAGTTGGGGTGGGAAAAGGATGCAAAAGACAAATGAGAACAAGCAAAGGTTTCCCTTGGTATTTATAGTTATTTTTTTTATTTAGGGAATGAGGTCAGGAATGATTTTGATTTAGGGGAGCTGTGGTGAAAATGAACTTGACTGCTCTGCTCTCTACCGGACTTGCTGAAGACCTCATAAAATATTCTAATGCAGAGTACTAAGTATTAAAACTTAATAAATGTTTATTTTTTCCCCTAAGATGCACAGTGTGAAAGACATATTTTTGTTAAATATTTCTAAAATACCTATTTCCTTATTTCATTACACAATCCAAAATAGGTTATTAGTGTACAGAAATAAAGTCCAAGTTATGCAGTTACTAGATTTTACTTTGAAAGTAAAAAAAGAGTAACGTATGTTGAGTTTTATAGTTAGAATTTCACTCTAAATTTAGAGGAAGGATCCTAACACAGAGATCTACTGGTACATGTCATATTATGGTTTTTATGGATTACTAGACAAGTCTCATTTGACTTTCTTCAGCATCCTTATTCTGTCTTTTACTACTGTTCTTAGATAAAGAGGGATATTAATGTATGTTTTTTTCCTGAAAAGATTAGTTCAGCTGTCAAAGATTTTAAAATAATACTACTCAGTGCTTCAACCTTTTTAATCAGTATGAGATCGGAACCCCTGCTGAAAAAATATTATTGCTGTACTGTCAATCACTGATAATGGAATTCAAATATCTTTAAAAAGGAAGCCTGAACAGACTTGTAACCTTTGTAGAACTACCCTTCAAAAAGAACATAGTGACTCCAGAAGTGTTTTTCTGTTTTGAATTTTCAAAACTCTTCTTATTTTGTCAATTTCATGAGCTATGACAATAAGCTATGCTAGCTTCTAGGTTTTTGTCCAAAGGAATGTTTTTAGATTTACTGCCACGTGTGAGATCTCATTCATGAATAAATATTTTTAAGTAATTCATTTCTATTAATTCTTTGAAGCACTTCACATTGTTTGATGTCTTCTACGGTAAAGCACATTTTGCTTATTAATTCTTCAGGTAAATGTACAAGACTCTCTAAGTTTAAAATACTGAATCCTGAGGTTTTTTAGAAAGTTCACCTGAACAAATAAGAAAATCTTTACGAAAATGCCAATGCCACCTTCAGTGTAGATCAAAACCTAGTTTTCTATTTTGATATGCGTTTTGACAAATTCTCATAAATTACAGAAATTGTCTCTAAAGCAGTAGCCCTCAAACTAAAAAAAAAATAACAGGGTTAATTCAGTCCTGCTTGTAGGTAAAATATCACGGCAGCTTTATCTTAGAAGAGACAGCACAGAAGGTGAGTTTGAGGTATAATTTGTTATGTTGTCTCTTTGAAACAGATGTTACTATTGGATTCACCTTATCCTGTGCTATATGTGTATCCAACCATTTTTAAACCATTGTAAAGTTAGCTGTGGGACAATTAGATTCTTAGCATACTTTTGAGATGTAATAATTGATTGTAGTTGAGTTACTGTACTTTCTCTCTTTACAGACAAATACATTGTATACATTAATGTTATCTTTTCTGGCAGCAAATAGCTGCCACTACAGCTACATTGTAAAGTACAATGCATTTAATTGCCTGTGCTACAAAGCAGTAAGTGAAATGTCTCGTATTGTATGTTTTGTGTCTGTAACCATGCATAGAATATTTTACCTATCAACAACATTGCTGTCCATACACTTCTGGAATCTTTTGACTGACTATACTGTAGCTATGCTAGGCTGAAAATGGGAAATATTGTAGTCTCCCTCAATGCAGATTGTGTGTACAGTATATTTTTCAAGGAGGTTCTTCTTCAATACAAATTTGATCTTTCCTGACTAATGATAATTTCTTTATACTCTGTATTTGCATATTTTGAAAGCCCAGGGAGCTAAATGTTTTCATAATTTAGTAAAGTGATTTTTAAACTCCTGTTGCTGTTGCTGAACTGTGCTTTTGCTTGATAAGATTTAAAAGGCTGATAAAGATAGGGATTAGCAAATAACTGCTACAC